GGTAGAAGCAAGGTCGAGGCCGCCATTTGCTGCCTGTTTTGTGGATTGGCAGTTTTAGAAGACAGGCGCTTTTTGCCATTTCAAAGTGCGATTGTGGATCGGAGATTGTCTTTTCTCGGACGAGCTATGAACTGTTGAAGTTATTTTTTTTGGGAAGAACGTCGAAGTTATTTTTTTTGGGAAGTTTTCCTTTTTGGTTTGCGCGCAATGCCATTTGCTGTTGAAAACCTGACTCTACGATGTTGGAGAGCATTTGCATGTATGTTTGTGGGATACTCCTTCGTTCAATCATTCCTTCAACGAATCCGTTACACTGTTCAATCAATCAATCAATCAATCAATCAGGAAAGCAATGTATGTGTGTTGGGATCCGTGTAGTGCTTGCCACGCGGACACCACGAGAGAGATTGCGAGGGAAAGGGTTCATTTCGGGGTGGAAACACAATGGATTTCTCAATGTTTGTGTTGTGTTGTCGTATGGGAGGCGCGATGATATTTGTTGTTAACCTCCCGCTATGGTTTTTGATGTTTCTTTGCTTTGCGCGACTTGCACACGCGAGGCCTATGCTATGCGTTTTCCACGAAATCACACCGCAAAAATCGATAAAGTCGTTGGAACCGCTTCACTCGATAAAGTCGTCGGAACTTGCACACGCGAGGCCTATGCTATGGCCAGTGTCATCTTACGAGTTGAGGGACATTGACGTGACATTAGGGTTCAGCAGAGGCGCTGCCATCTCTCTCTCTCTCTCTCTCTCTCTCTCTCTCTCTCTCTCTCTCTCTCTCTCTCTCTCTCTCTCTCTCTCTCTCCCCCGCGCGCGCGCGCGCGCAACGAAAGCCGAATACTGGCAACGTATATTGCTGGGAGGAATGCCTTTATAGGCATTTGTGAGGAATCATCGTTTGAATTAGTTCAAAACTTTTTTTTTTTTTTTCATACAATCATCATTTGCTAATTGGCGCTTTGTGTCCGTTTTCCATCGCATTTTTTTTGGGGTGGTAATGACAATGAGAGAGACACACACACACACACACACACACACACAC